TCTCTAGATGCTGTTTACACTTAGTGAAAATAGTGATATATTCTATTTACCATGTAAAAGTAGCAGTTCTTTGCAATAAGTGTAAATAATAATTAGATGCCATTTATACTTTATACTGGCAGATACTTACTATTTGCACCTCAGTATTGTTGTACATTAACATGATGCAATAATAACAGAGTGTAAATTATTATATTTATTAAAATTATAAATACTTTTATCATTATTAAACACTCGTTAGACACTTTACTTCCACTTTTAGAACATTTTCTTCATTTTTATTGAAAATAAATTGTAATGTGGTCTGTGATGGGAAAAGTGAGAAGAGTGAGCTCGGCAAAAACCTGACTCGAACCCGATCAATCGTGTCACAAGCTAGTTCTCTGCACCCAACGTATTACTACCTACACCACTGAAGCCATTATTCACACGTGTCGTATTTAACCTTGTGTGACATTGGAGGGCTGAGCTACTGTAAATTTGCACTTAGTAATAGACACTCCGAATAATCTTGTTTTCCATTTGCATTAAGATTATTTTTATTACCACACTGGCAGATAATTTTACTTAAGTAAAATGCACTTAATTTAGACCCCAAATTTTTTTATATTTGTACTTGATATAAGAAAAATAAATACTTAGTAAGAAAAGCATTTTTGCAGCGTGCATGAATGAATTATTTAAACATCGCTTGAGCTTTAAAAAGGGGGAGGAGACCGAAAGAAACTCTGGGTTTACCGAAGAAAACCTGCTCCCAACCAGGGGTGCGTTTCCCGTACAACTACATAACTCGCTGATTAACCACCATAGTACGATGCATCGTTGTGGAAATTAACTAGCTAGTCACGACTGTTTCCCGAAACCATGGTACTTGTGTCGCAAATCCATCGTTTAAACCACGTTGGTTTGAGCTGTCGTTATGACGTTGTTCTACTTCTTCTTCGATATAATATCCGACTGGTGCAATGAGCATATACCGCCACCTACAGTCATTTGGTTTTATTTTCTCTTTTCTTCGACTCGAATTACGCTTTTGAAATGACGTTACGTAGGAGTGGAGTAATAACGCAACATTCATTTGTTCCGCAATAAATTATATACATACACACACACACACGTTTGTAGAGAATATTCTGTAAAAACAACAAAATCACTCATTTATAACATTTTTTAGTTTATTTGGGTACATTCATTTACTATAAAAATACTGTGATTTGAGTGTTAACACTTAATATAAGTGAAAACCTTTAACATACTGTTTTACCAATATTGTTATATGAGAAATTTGTCTTTATGAATGTTTTAACAAAGATACTCACTTGACAAACTCACCTTTTCTTCGAATTATATACATACAGAGACACACACATTTGTAGAGAATATTCTATATTCTAATTCTGTAAAAACAACAAAATCACTCACTTATTTATACATTTTTGTTACTTTATTTGGGTACATTCATTTACTATAAATATACTGTGATTTGAGTGTTAACACTTAATATAAGTGAAAACCTTTAACATACTGTTTTACCAATATTGTTATATGAAAAATTTGTCTTTATGAATGTTTTAACAAAGGTACTCACTTGACAAACTCACCTTTTCTTCGCGCAAACGAAACAAAGGCTGCGTTCCAATCGGCATGATTAATGCTTAAGAGTCACACAACCTTAGTGTGGCGGGAATTTCCCACAGTATGAACAATACACTCAATCCAGCACCAAAGTCCTGTTATAGTAGTGGCTAAAGGGTTGTGTGTGTGTGTGTGTGTGTACTCTTATGTACATTTCCTAACACTGTAGAGTGTTTTTTTGCTAATTACACCTGCTGTAACATCTCCAAACCTAACCTCTCTCTCTCCTTCCTTCTGTACTCCTCGAGCAGTTCTGGGTTGCTGTATAATTTTTCCCTGAACTTTGTCAGCCTGGCCTTTGCTAAAGCTTTTTTTTCTCACTTGCTGACTGTCTACAATAAAATAAATAATAAAGCAAAATATCAACAGTTAGTAAATTTTAAATTAAATTCATAAGAGATATTTAAAAGTCATACACAATATGCTTAGATTCTCATTCCCGAAACATAAGTTATCTTTACCGCAACTGGCCTTAAATGGTTGTGGTATATGAGAATGGTGTTGTGGAGTATGAGGTGCCTCAGTATGTTTTGCTAACAATAGAGAAGCTATAATGGCTTTGCAAATTTTTTCTCAGTGGATATAATTAGACCTTAATAAAGTACATTTTCATACAAAAATTGTAAATCTAACAATTTTCGAAATGTAGAAAACTTCCTGTTTCGGTAATGATAATCAAAATGTCTCCTGACCTTAAATGGTTGTGGTATATGAGAATGGTGTTGCGGAGGATGAGGTGCCTCAGTATGTTTTGCTAACAATAGAGAAGCCATAATGGCTTTGCTAATTTTTCTCAGTGCATATTATTAGACCTTAATAAAGTACATTTTCATTAAAAAATTGTAAATCTAACAATTTTAGAAATGTAGAAAACTTGCTGTTTCGGTAATGATAATCAAAATGTCGTGTTAACATTCTGACAATAGAATATTTAATATTTAACTGGAGAGATATAAAGAGATTATCTTACCTGGTAGCCATCTTGAAGTACCTGGCCCATGTGCTTCTTCACTCAAAATCAAACTTTATTTAAATTCTCTATGTGTTTAAACAGTCCTTAAAAAATGTTGCGGAGGATGAGAACATCAGGCATGGACACATCATTTTCCTACTTTTTTTTCCTTTATTATTGTACATGAATATTCAGTAATTTTTTTTTCTAAATATTTTTGTTAATTTGTTTAAATTACAACATAACACAATTCGAGCACAGACGGACGCATTGCGGTAATGAGAATTTCAGCAGAAAATGCTGTAAAATAGAAATATAATTAATTCTCAAGTTGAAATTACACATTGTGCAAGGTAGAGAACAGTATTGTCTTTATTCTGATGCTTTTTTATATTACTAAATTACATGTTTTATATTTAAAATCATTAGTGCCGTGGTGTTTTAATGGTTTCGTGAGAATCACCCAAATATAAAAAAGCAGTAACCAGTAATATTAACTTCTCCATTGTCGTAGGCAGTCGATGTACAAGTAGGATGGTTGGTCGGTATTTGTCCCGCCCCTCCTCCATTGATGGTGACAGTGACGAACAATGCGTTTTACGGTTACCAACTCGGCTACAATTTTTTATACGTGTGAGCTGAAGTAAACCATGGAGGAACCACCACAGGTGTCAAATGTCAATAACACACGGGAAGCACTGAAACTTGGCCACCAATAATTTGTGCATGAGCTGTTCAATATTTATAATAATAATAATAATAATAATAATAATTCATTATATTTATATAGCGCTTTTCTAGGCACTCAAAGCGCTTTAAATGGTGGTGGATGAGGAGATACCCCCTGACAATGTAAAGTTAATTAATTATGAAATTAGTTCAATTGGGCAATATAGCATTGTTTACTTATATAAACCCTTATTAATAAGCCTTTGTAAAAAAGAACAGTTAGCACATTCATTTGTTGGGTAACAACCTTGACAGCTGTGATGAATTAATGTCCGGTGTTTGTCATGTGACAATACTGTAGCTTACTAAGTTGTGTGTGCCATTTTGAACACAGCCTGTCACTTGCCTCATTTCTGAATGAATCAGCCATTTGAACAAATCGGTTGAATAAATGACTGAATGACTCTCTCATTAAACAGTCTTTTACCGACACCTACTGGTTGTTTGCCTTTGTTTAAATGTGTCATTGCATTTTTTACCCCAGCATTTCTTATACTTTTATGTTCCAAAAAATGATTTAAAACAATCTGATGATATTTGTAATTTTTCGTGTAAATGAATTAATGGCACTGAACATGGTTGTGTTGTACCAATAGCCTAGTTGGCAGAGCTCCCACTTGTGGTGCCGATGTGCCTCAAGCAACCTGAATTTGAGTCCCAGAAGTTCTTTTGGCCATCCTGTCCCTTTTGCTTCTCCCTGTTGTGGCCTGTCTTCTCTGCACTGTTCTAATAATAAAGATACGAAAGGCCAAAAACTGAACATAGTTGAGAGAACATTATTTTTCTAATGCTTTAGATTTGAATAGTAGATTTGGGATTGGTCTATAATACATGGAATTTCACTGTTTTAGCTTTTGAGAGAAGCTTCTTAAGGCTTTGCCATTGTTCATAATGTAGCTAGTATAGTAATGCAAATAATATAAACACAATAAATCAGGAAACTAGAGGTAAAACAAATCCTGCTTGCACATTCTCTAGATTTGTGCTTCTGTGAAAGTGCAGTAATTCTGATGAAATGTAAATTTCTCAATTTTCTCACAATTGTGATTAACTGTTTAATCATTATTTTGTGAACCCAGATGTGGTTTGCGTACGTAAGAAAACTATAAATGTTGGTTAAGTATTACAAAAGTTTTCCCTAAAATCCCAAGCATAACTATAGGTGTATCACCTCTTTTGGGCTAGTTTGAAGGTGCAGTGAGTTCCTGATTATTCGTAATTGACATGAAACGTATTGTATTCTCAGGGAAAACGTATACAAGGAGAAAAGCAGAGGACTTAATACCGAGCCCTGAGGCATTAAATACTGTGTTTGATGAGACATCTCTTCATTTACACAAAGAAAGTGGTAGCAGTTAGATAGGGCATGAATCCTATTTTTATTATCTACAAATGCCTATATAACTCAAGCTATGCAAGAGAATGTTGTGGTCTGTGTTGTTAAATCCAATAGCTCTAGAAAAAAAGAGATAACTTTAATAAGTACAGTTTGCTTGTTACAATGGGGTGTAAAAAATTTGACTGATGTTGTTCACAAATACGTTTTTTTTTTTTGCAAAATTGAACATTGTTGAAAGGTCTGCATATTTCTAATAATTTAAACTGGGGTGCCAAGCTCAGCCTTGCAGCCCAGCCTCTGCAGAGTTTTAAATCCAATTCTAACTGAACACGCCTGAATCAAGATCTTTAAGGTCAACTTATTAGGTGTGTTGGAGCTAAACTCTGCAGGACTGTGAATCTCCAGGATAAATGGCAGATTTGGGCCATTTTTACAGTCTGTTCTACTGTTGCTTTTAAATTGCGGTTAACTTGTATTTGTCTCTCTTCACCCTAGACCTGATGGTGCTGAAAAAGGAGAGTGAAGTACTAGATGAAATGCAAGATGAAGATCAGTATAAGAAAGAGCATGATTTCATAACTGGACAAAAATCAATTAGTTGCTCTCAGACAGAAAAGACTTCCACAAAAAAAAGAGCTAAAAAGACTGGAACTAGAGATCATTACACCTGCCAGCACTGTGGAAAGATTTTCAATCAGCATGGAAACTTTAAAGTCCACATGAGAGTTCACACTGGAGAGAAGCCTTATACATGTCAACAATGTGGAAAGAGTTTCGATCAACAAGGGAACCTTAAAGTCCACTTGAGGACTCACACTGGGGAGAAGCCTTATACATGCAAACAATGTGGAAAACATTTCAATGAACATGGAAACCTTAAAGTCCACATGAGGATTCACACTGGAGAGAAGCCTTTCACCTGCCAACAGTGTGGAAAATGTTTCACTAAAAGAGGAACCCTCAAAAGCCACATGAATGTCCACACAGGCGAGAAGCCTTACACATGCCCCCTGTGTGGAAACCGTTTCAGTCAACAAGGAAGCATTAACAGGCACATGAGAACTCACACTGGAGAGAAGCCATACATCTGCAAACTGTGTGGAAGGAGCTTTACAACAAAACCAAACCTTAGGTATCACATGAACAGTCACACTGGTGAGAAGCCTTTTACATGTGATCAGTGTGGAAAGAATTTCAGACATAAAGGAACCATTAAAAAGCACATGATGATTCACTCAAGAGCTCTCCCTCTCAGTTTTATATGTCATCAGTGTAGAATGAGTTTTACAGACAGTAATCACCTTAAAAATCATGTAAAATCTCACACTGGAGAGAAGCTTTTCATGTGCAATGACTGTGGAAAGACTTGCTCAAACAAGACAAACCTAAAGATTCACATGAGAATTCATACTGGAGAGAAGGCTTTCACCTGCCCTCAGTGTGGAAAGAGTTTCAGATTTAGAGGAAACCTTCGGACTCACATGAGAGTTCACAGTGGAGAAAAGCCTTACACCTGCCTTCCATGTGGAAAGAGTTTCACACTTAAAGGAAACCTTAACATTCACATGAGGCTTCACACTGGAGAGAGACATTTCACATGCCATGAGTGTGACATGAGTTTCAAATATCAGAGAAACTTGAAAGATCATTTGCAAACTCATTCTGGAAAGACACTGACATGTTCTTCAGCATGACAAGTTTTGAAAAAGGAGCAATTTAAAACAAAAAAATAATCACCTGCACATTCACTCTGGAAGAAGGTGCCATAATGTCTAATAATTTTGCCATCACACAAATACACCTGGAAAAAGTCATGTATGTGTGAGACCCTATTTGTGTTCTTTGTCCAGAAATCGTTTTAAATAGCTCTGCAGTATAAAATGGCACCAGAAAAAGAGTTGTCCACTAAAATTTTGGTGACTGAAATAGCAAAAATAATTTGACTGAAACGGTGACGTTTCATTGGCTTTTTCATGATTGATCTTGGTTTCATTTACATGGGCTTTCAAGCTACGTTCACACTGCAACCCTTAAGCCCGAGACACACTGAACGATTTTAGCAATCCTATAAGATTATTATTGCATGTCACACTGCAACATTGGTCTTATCACGCAGCATACCCGGTTTAAAAAGTCACCACTCGCCACACACAAACATATATATATATATTCAGTTGTGTTCAAAATAATAGCAGTCCACCATCACTAGAAATTTTATTTCTACATGGCAGATATTTTACTAGTAGATGTAGTAGAGCTATAGAAAACCAACAGACCCAACAGTCATGACATGCATGCTGCTGATTCTGTGTAATTGAATCATTAATTGAAAAGGGCGTTTAAAAAATAATAGCAGTGTGGAGTTCAGTTAGAGAGTTAAATCATAATGTGAAAAAAACTGGTGTCAAACAAGTGGCCCTTATTTAAGGACAAAGGCAGCAAATGTTGTACTGTGCATTTCTCTCTGAAAATCTGAGTAAAATGGGTCATTCCAGACATTGTTCAGAAGAACCGCGTACTTGGATTAAAAAGTTGATTAGAGAAGGGAAAACATCAAGTGCAGAAAATGATAGACTGCTCAGCTAAAATGATATCAAATGCTTTAAAATGGCAACCAAAACCAGAAAGACGTGGAAGAAAACTGAAAACTAACATTCAAATGGATCAAAGAATAGCCAAAATGGTAAAGACTCGGCCAATGATCAGCTCCAGGGTGATCAAAGAAAGTGTAAAGTTACCTGCGAGTACTGTAACGAACACGTGAAGCCAAGCTATGGGCAACTTAAGAAGCCCCCGCAAAGTCCCATTGTTTAAAAAAAACGACACATGCTGAAGAGGTTACAATATGCCAAAGAACACATTGACTGGCCTAAAAAGAAATGGTGCAATATTATGTGGACTGATGAAAGCAAGATCCTTCTTTGATCCTGTTCTTTTTGGGTCTAGGGGCCACAGACAGTTTGTCAGACGATCCCCAAACACTGAATTTAAGCCACAGTACACTGTGAAGACCGTAAAGCATGGTGGCGCAAGCATCATGATATGGGGATGTTTCTCATACTACGGTGTTGGGCCTATTTATCGCATTCCAGGGATCATGGATCAGTTTGAGTACATCATAATACTCAAAGAGGTCATGTTGCCTTATGCCGAAGAGGAAATGCCCTTGAAATGGGTGTTTCAACAAGACAACGACCCCAAACACACCAGTAAGTGAGCAACATCTTGGTTCCAGACCAACAAAATTAACATGGAGTGGCCAGCCCAATCTCCGGAACTTAATCCAATAGAAAACTTGTAGGGTGACATAAAAAATGCTGTTTCTGAGGCAAAACCAAGAAATGCAGAGGAATTGTGGTATGTAGTGCAATCGTCCTCGGCTGGAATTCCTGTTCACAGGTGCCAGAAGTTGGTCGACTCCATGCAACACAGATGTGAAGCAGTTCTCAGAAACCGTGGCTATACAACTAAATATTAGTTCAACGATTCACAAGAAAGCTGAATCTTCAAGCATTTTTCAGTTTATACAGTAAATGTTTGGCTTTGTAAAGAAAAATGCAGACACTGCTATTTTCTTTGAACAGCCTAATATTCCTTTTTCTTTCTGTAGTTGTAACAAATTTACATTTTTCTTTGTTTTGATTTAGAATAGAATGTGCACTGTTCCCAGTGTATTTGTTTGTATTAAAATAAAAGTTATTATAAGGATTTTGAGCTTTACTCACTTTTTTTAAACACTGCTATTATTTTGAACAACTATATACAGGTGCATCTCAATAAATTATAATGTCGTGGAAAAGTTCATTTTATTTCAGTAATTCAACTCAAATTGTGAAACTCTTGTATTAAATAAATTCAATGCACACAGACTGAAGTAGTTTAAGTCTTTGGTTCTTTTAATTGTGATGA